AGATTTGAATAATAAGCTTTGCACAAAATAATATTGCAGATTCTTTTGTGAATGTTCAATGTGGATCGTCATATATATCTCTTATTCACGTGAACCTATGAAGATGGTCAATGAAAAATTTTATTAGTTAAATGCAATAATGTATATATTTATTTCAATTTGATGAGGTTCAATCATGTAATTATCTGTATCTCACTAATATTACCTTATAGACAATATTTGTTGTGTATTTTTCTTGTCATCTAACCAGATGTGTTTTCCACGTGTATTCCACGTTAATCTGTTTAGATGTCATATGAACATGTGGAGAATAACTACATTTTATATTTTAGAACTATTTTTGTATATTAATATTTATTTTATAAGTTATAACATAATAAATGACATTCTTATTGTTGGCTCTCATATTTGACTTCTTGATTGACTGTGTACAAAAATCAAAGATAGTTATCTGATTGTCCATAGTTAACTCAGAAATGTTTCTATTTTTTAACCGGAGAAACAAAAAAATTAAAATTAAAGAATATATTTTATCTGTGAAATCATATATATAATTACCTATTTATCTTACACCCAACAAAGATATAGTTTATATACTTGTAAAAGATTTTCAAGTCATTTAACCAAGCATGATTAATCCAAGGAAAAATAACACCGTGTTATCACATATAAAGCGGCGGTATAATAATACGAAAAATTATTGATAAAAAGTTAATATAAAGAAAGATGAAAGATAGAAATAATTAATTTAATAACTATGAGAATTCATAATATTATAACTAAAAAATGTAAAAGAGTGTGAATAATGTTTGCAATAATTAGTAATAACTAAGAGAATTTATAATGTAATAAAGAATTAATGTGCAATAGATGAATTTCTAATAAATATATACTTACATAAATAAATAGGACTTTTAATTAATGTTACTATTTTTATAGTTATTAGATTTTAATTTAGTGTAGGGACAAAATGAAAATATTTATTCCATATTACAGAATATAAAGTTTATTTTGTTAATGATAAATTTTAAATTATATATATATATATATATATATATATATAAAACTAATACAAACTATATTAAACTAATACAAATGTCAATATGAACTTTTCTTCGTTGAAAATACTGAAATACTAAGAAATAGTAAAATCAGTAAAATAAAAGGTCAATGTTTATATAGTAATAACTATTTTGATGCAAATTTTCTGACAATCTAAATCACATAAGAAACATTGATAAATAAAGTCATTCTTTTGTCTTGAGCATCAAAAAATAAATTGTGATAATTCTCTAACTCATGAGAAGTTTAATAATTTTGGAAAAGATATTCAGAAGCATATATCTACATCACAAGAGAAATTTTTAACAAAAACAAATCATCCCGTTAACTTCATATATTGGAACATTACATACTAATGTATATAATAAGCAAAAAAATAATTATTGTATCATCAAAATTATTTTCCATAAGTACTCGAAGTTAAGAAATATATCATCTTAGGATAGAACAACTTACTTAATCAGAATAGTGGTACCTCATATTCCGCTGAACTTCGAACTCACTCAACGACAATAAATTACAAGAATTTTTTTAAATTGCAAGAAGAAGAAGAGTAGAAGATAAATAAAAAAAATTGTGATTGAAAAATGAAAGGAAACCCCTCTATTTATAGTCAACAAAGAGTATTATGAACAACTGTTTTTTGTGTCTTATCTGACAAGTCATGACCGTCTCGAGAAGTCACAATCCTTTGAAAAAGTCACAACTTATTGAAACAGTCACAACTTATTGAATAAGTCACAACTCTTTGGAAAAGTCACAACTCTTTCGAAAAGTCACAACTCATCGAAAAATCACAACCCTTTGAAAAGAGTCACAATTTATCAGAAAAGTCACAACTCATCAGAAAAGTCACAACCTAAGTTAAGAATATTGTAGTAATTTAACATTCAAGTTTGGAGTTCATGCTTTTAAGGTAATATAGATAGATAATATGATTTTAATATCATTTTGTCTTCTCTTATTCTACATTAAGAACATGTTTTAGCTTAGACGGTTTGTATTATGGGTAATGGCTTATTGATGTCTTGAAATTAGATTTGGTTATTGATAGTGATATGTATAGAATTTTATCACTATTTATTTAAAATTGTAATCTTGATATTCTACATATATTTACGTTAAATTTTTTATTACTTAATTTTGATGTCCAATCAAATATCGATCTTTGAATAAAATAAGGTGGAACAAGTAATTAATATAACATTCTTCTTATTTTAATTTTATGACCTTATTTTCTTTTTAGACAATTTAATAAAAGATTTTTGTAGTTTTAGTAACAATTCAACTTTTTTTTTAAATTTTTTATCTTTAATATAAATTGATATATAGCCATAGAAAATTTATATCTTTTTTTTAATGGGAAAATGAATAAATATTCTTTTGAATTTGTCCTCGAAAAGTCAAATACATGTTCGAAGTATCATGATGATTTATTACATCGTTACTATTTAAAAGTGAATTTAATACCACGTTAAGATATATAACACCGCTCTAATAGTATGTGGTGTTTTACACTTGCGCTACATAAGAAATTATAATTTTTTTCTAATTAATTATTAAAATCCTTTAATAATTATACCTTCGTTGTTACTAAATTTCACCCACTCCACTTCTTATTACATCGAGGGAGGAGGGAGGATTTTAATTATTTTTACTTTAATTTTTATTTGACACACTTGTTTTTTATTTTTAATTTACTTTTAAATAGTACAAATATATAATAGATTGCCATAATAATTTAAAGGGTCGTTTGGTAGAGTGCATTGACAAAAATAATGCATGCATTAGCTTTCTATATTCGTTGTACCTTATTTGATACACTTTTTCATGCTATGTATAACAAATGCTTGCATTAGTTATACATTCTATTGTGTATTGAAAAGTGTATTACTAATATCATGGATTTCTAGGTATTAGTAATGCAAAGGATTTAATACATGCATTAGCTTGGTTAAAGACCAAATTATCCCTCAAAAATACTTTTGCATCTTTTCCACCATAATTATGAATGATTGTTTTGTAAGTAATTATTTTTGTACAATACATACTATTTTTAATACATCAAACCAAATAATGCATACGGAATTCTGTCGTTTGATAGAATGTATAAGAATAATGCTAAATAAAGTGTATTAATAATGCTTGCATTAGTAATGCATGTATTAGTTATGCTTGCATTAATTATACATAGATTATTTTAATGCATTGTTTGGTTTGATGCATTAAAAATAATATGTATTGCATTAAAAAAATTATTTACAAAGATATCCTCCACTTTTATGGTGGAAAAGATGTAAAAAAAAGTTTTGAGGGACAATTGAGTCTTTTATCATTTTAATGCATGCATTAAAACTATTGCATTGCTAATACCTAGAAATCCATGGTATTAGCAATGCACACCTTAATACACAATAGAGTGTATAACTAATGCAAACATTAGTTATACATAAGTTGAAAAAGAGTACCAAACAAGGTACTAGTAATACACAAGAGTAATACATGCATTATTTTTCCTAATACACTCTACCAAACGAATGTAAGCATAACTAATGGAAACATTACTAATACAATGTACTGAACAATATCTTTATACACTCTACCAAACGATCCCTAAATGTGTATTCAACTTTGCGGAACTACTCCTTCTATCCACTTTTAATTGTCATGTTGCATTTTTTGAAAGTTAATTTGACTAATTTTCAAAATTAAATTAGATTACATTAATTTGATATTTTAAACAAAAAATTCAGATATTAAAAAATTATACGAAAAATACTATAAATTTCAATATTTTGCATATCAATTTGATGAAAAATATATCGTAAAATATTAGTCAAATTTATTATTGCTTGACTCTAAAAAGAGAAACTATAACAATTAAAAATAGATGGAAATAATAATTCGGAAAAAGAATGTATGCCTTTTCCGTATTTTAATTTACAAGTTTCGAAACTCTTTCCTTTTTTTGGTTTTAACCCATGAATCTGTTAATTTACGCAAAGTGAGCAGTGGGAGACAGGCGACAACACAAACACCGTCCACGTATTGTACTCTGAATGGAAACCAACCTCGATTTCTGTGCCGATTACGCTTTTCCTGGCTAATTCCAGCTCATCAGATCTAGCCTTTTACAACTGGTCCAGCTGGCATTTACACGTCATCCTCCGTTATAACTTTCAATTATTGGTCTGTCATCTCCACCCTTTCACATTACATGTGACCCTAAAAAACTCCCTTTTTATTTTTGACTTTCACTAGAATAATTTTGGGGTTTTGTTATAAGAAATCCAGAAAATTATTATTTTTTGTTGATGGTGAAGTGGGTTATAGTTGTTGATATATAGTATAAGAGAAAGCCATCTTTTCTTTTGTACAAATTCTAAGTCTTTGAAGAATCAATGAGACTTATTCAAAAAAAGGAATAGTAGATGTGTAAGAAAAAGCCGTTAGATTGGAATTGTGTTGAGGTTCAATATAAAAACAACGAGTTGAAACGGCAAAGACAAAAACAGAAGAAAGAGATCGCTTGCCTTTTTTTTTCTTTTTTATATAATTGGAATTTAGCGATTTTGGGGATTTTGAACATCAGGTGATCTTGCTTTCTTTGCACGGACCTTTATGGTGATTACTTTAATTTTCTTTGATGATCTAATCACGATTGATTTTCTTCTTCAAATATCGCATCGTTTTAGTACGTTTTTGGTGTTTTATGGAATATGATGTGAGTGGTAATTCTCTGTTCTTGTTATTATTGTATGTATACTTACGCAATTGGTGTAAATTTCCTATTCTTTGCTGTTAGTTGTATAGCTGAAGGTAGATGATGAGGAGTAAAGGCCAATCAAATGCTTTATTGGATTTACTGTTTGAGTATGTGTTTGTTTTATTTTTCACTTGTGATGCACTCTATATGCTAGGGTTATTACCAATTCATGATTTGCAATGTTATTCTTTGTCCAGGTTTTGAGAATTGAGTCAAATATTTTGGCACCTTATCCTTGAGAACCATTATAATTATATGTTATAGCTGAATTGGTTTAAGGGATGATTGAAGTGTAAAAGTCTTTTTTTTTTACCTGGTGTAGGCTATTTGACCAGATCTTCTTAGGATTGTTACTCTTTGAGTCACAGCAGATCAGATTTTGATGTGCAATGCAAAGATCACGTAGGGCTCTTCTGCAAAGAAGAGCTTTGGAGAAGGCAATTTACGGGAGGGAACGGGCTTATAAATTTTCTCTATCTGCCGTTGCTGTTCTATGGACACTTGTTTTCCTGTTGAACTTGTGGATTGGTCATGGTGATGTCAATGAAGGTTAGTTCCATCAATCTGAATTTTTATGTTCTATGTATGATATGAAGTCCTCACGTTCAACTTAGGTGAAAAGGGTGATTAAGTTGCACAAAACAACCACATACCCAGTGTAATCCCACAAGTGGGATATTGGGAGGGTGGAGTGTACGCAGTTCTACCTTGTGAAGGTAGAGAGACTGATTCCGATAAATACTCGGCTCAAATAAAAGCATATCAAATTAGGTATCCAACGGGATTAAAGTAGAGAATAAGCTAAATAATGCGATGGCCGAAACAAAAAGAGCAACAGGTAATACTAAAATCGAAGAATAAGATAATAGGAAAGTAATAATAATAAGTACAAATAAGGGAACTAAACGACACACGTTTACCTACTAGCCTTCTACCCTCATCCTTGGCCTCCATAACTTCCTATCTAGTGTCATAAACTTGGTAAGCTAGAGGTGATTAAGCTTCACACAAATTGTACAATATGCCCTTGATCTAATTCCTTTTTCTTGAGCATTTTTGTTTAGTTAGTTTAAACGTTGAAATTGGTCTTCCATCACATCATTACAGTTATTCAGAAGTAATAGCTTTTATCCTTGCATTTAACATGTCATGTTTGTTTAATGTAGAGGGCTCTGGAGATTTTCCTGTTGCTGTAAGATTATATACAGAAAATAAACCTCAATATAGTAGAGACACTTGTTCTGCTTTGCCCAGAACCGACAGTTCATCACAGGAAATCCAATTCGAAGATTCAGCCAAGATTTCATGTACACAGGCAGGGAAAAGTCAAGTTACAAATAGAGAATCAGCAGATGTTTTGCAAAACAGCAACGCTGGTTCTGCAATTCAAGAACAAGCTAGTGAAGGAAATCCACTTTCAGAAAAGGATGCTTCAAAATCTGACAGATTTGCTCGTGCTGTGCCTCCAGGTCTTGATGAATTCAAAAACAAAGCATTTAACGCCAAAAATCATAACAAAATTGGCCATGCTGAAGGAATTATACATAGGTTAGAGCCTGGAGGATCAGAATATAATTATGCTTCTGCTTCAAAAGGAGCCAAAGTCCTGGCTTACAACAAGGAAGCAAAAGGTGCTTCCAACATCTTGGGCAGAGATAAGGACAAGTACCTTCGTAATCCTTGTTCAGCTGAAGAGAAGTTTGTTGTCATCGAACTGTCAGAAGAAACCCTTGTGGATACAGTGGAGGTCGCAAATTTTGAACATCACTCATCTAACCTAAAAGATTTTGAGCTCCTTGGTAGTCCCATTTATCCTACAGACACATGGATCAAACTTGGAAATTTTACCGCTGTAAATGTAAGGCATGCTCAGAGGTTTCTTCTTCCAGAGCCAAAATGGGTAAGATATCTTAAACTGAATCTTCTGGGCCATTATGGTTCAGAGTTCTATTGTACCCTGAGCATTTTGGAGGTGTACGGAGTCGATGCTGTTGAAATTATGCTTGACGATCTTATCTCTGATCAAGATAAGTTGTTTGTACCTGAACAAACTAGTAATGAGGATAAATCTGTGCCCACTCAACATGTTTCTAATCATGGTGAAACTTTTCAAAATGCCAATGATGAAATGGAAAAGGATCTTCAGGGAGTAATGACAACTGATGTGCCTGACCCAGTGGAAGAAATTCGTCGTCAACAGGTAAATAGGATGCCGGGGGACAGTCTGAAGATACTGATGAAAAAAGTGCGATCTCTGGATATCAATTTGTCAGTTTTGGAACGATACCTGGAAGAGTTAAATTCTAGATATGGAAAGATTTTCAAAGACTTCGATTCTGAAATGGGAGAAAAAGATGTTCTTCTTCAAAATATTAGGTCCGACATAAGGGGTTTATCTCACAGCAAGGATGCCTTAGTATGTGGATTTCTTCCTCTTTATCTTTGCTCCCCTTTTTTATTCTTTCAGATCTTGTATGTGGCATAAGAATATTGTAAAGTTTATATTGACTAAAATATTCTATCACAATGCTTTTTTCCAGGGTAAAGAAGTTGTCGACCTAGTATCATGGAAATCCCTTGTTTCCACACAGCTGGAAGAAATTATCAGGGGAAATGCTATTCTCAGGTATATTTTTCTCCTAATAATAGAATCAACAAGTCTCACTTAGGCATGAAGAATCTGGTGTTCCGTTCAAAATATGAATGAAATATCTGGTTCAAATGCAACAAAATTTATCCTTTTTGTTTTCCCTGGGGATTCTGCGCAACAAAATTTGACCTGACTCTATTATTTCTCAATTTTAAGATAGGACGACGCCGTGTGTTATCTTTCTGGAATTGTATTAGTTTGTTCGAGTAGGATAGTAGGTAAAATTTATTGACATGATGCAGGAATTATGCCTCTTAAATTGGGAAGCAATAGATTGTGGGATTTCATTTTTGTTTAGGAACCAGTTGGCACAAATGAACATTAATGCAGAAACTATTTTATGTCCACTATAACTGTATTTTTGAAAGGAACTTTTTCATGCCACAATATTTATCTCACCGAAGAACTGCTCAAATGTTGTACTACAGAACTAACATTCAATTGAACTAGATGAATTTGAACTCAGAAGTCTTACTTTGTGTGCATGAACTGGAGGAATTGAAATGAACTAATCCATATACAACATTACTATCTCGACAAAGCATTACTAATGTGAATTTGCTTGTGTTACTCCGCTTTTTTTTAATTGAATGAAACTGTATTGGTTCCCTGCATTTCTTGTATAACACTAAAATTTAGATGGCTAGAAGTGAATATATTGAACAGTTGCCCAATTTTCCATAGTAACGATTCCTAATAAAGAAAAAATATTTGTACTTTTGCTTGATAGTTGTTGGGATCTTATTTTTCTGCATTGTGTTCTAAAATTTGCATTCATTATGCAGGAAGGAGGTTGAAAAGGTTCAAAGGAATCAGGTACACATGGAGAACAAAGGAATTGTTATTTTTCTTGTATGTTCATTTTTTGGATTATTGGCTCTTTTCAAGCTACTAGTAGATACAGTTTTGAGTAATTATAGGTCAGAAAATTCCAGGAAATTTTGTTCAGAGAGTTACTCCTGGTATTTTCTACTCTTGAGTTCTACCATTACAATTATAATCCTTTCCTTGTAATTTATGTAATATAGCAACGACTGCATTTACTTGTTTTACCTTGTTGAATGTGGAACTAAACTGTATAGTTCAGTTCTCAAAAACTGGAGGGAGTATTATGCTCCCATTTGGACATAAAATTTGGAATTTTTTTTCTTCAAATATCTTGTTTGCTTATAGAATATATTTATTTTTGGGTGATTTTGAAACTCAAATCTTTAAAACTCAAAAATAGCTTCAAACTTCTTTTTGGTTCAAAATATGAACACTAGGACTATTTTTAACATTTTAAAACTTGTCCCAAATTCTACAAGACAAGTAAGATCATCTCCAAGAGCAGTGTCCAGGTCAGCTGCATATATATTCTTACATTCTTGCCGTGAGAATCACATTCTATGACACTTCTCACATTCTAAGACACCAGGTTTGACAATGCCTCGATCTGAAAGAAATTTGACATATTTCCTTTGTCATAGATTTGGGACACACTAAGTAGACTATACTTTAATCCACTCACATAGTACACATCTTCAATCTAATGTTCAAGAGATCTCATAGTCTTTCTGACACCAAAAATGTACCCCTTCTTTCCATTTACTTTGAAGTGACTTGAGTGAGAGGAAGTTTTTAGTCTTTTCGATCATATTCTTAGAGCATCCACTATCCATGAACCAGAAATGAATACTTTCTCCTTCTCTCACCTGCATAGAGTAATTACTTATTAGTGTGGAGAACCCATTTAAGTCTGAGTTATCAGTGTTTTCTAAGTCCTGGCAATTTGACTTTCTTCACTTTGGAACCAGTACCAGGTGCCCTTCTAATACTCCCCTTTTGTTCAACATAATTTGAAAAATTCTTCTTAGTCCTTTTTCATGCTTCACAATCTTTCTTAAGATGTCCATTTCTCCCACAATGAATGCATAGCATGTTATTAACTTATTATATATATAGACATATTTACTATGAGAATTGTATAAGGATTCAATTTTCAACATCCTAGACCCCTTTCATTGTTATACTCTTGACAGGTCAAGTTTTCTAGCATTTTAGAAGAAGTGGCCCATTTAAGAGATTTGTTTAGCTCTTTCTTAACGCGAATTAGATCCCTCTCTAGTTGAACATTTCTTTATAGGGATAGAGCCAAGTTCAATTCAGATTTTTTCAGGCGATCTTCAAGTTCTAATTGTAGCCTCCTAGCTTCACCCTTTCCTTTAGATCTATATTCAGGGATTTTCTTCAATTTCTCCTTGAGATCTATGTATTCAGCAATGCCTAAGGCAAGCTTTTTTCCAAATTCAGAAATCTAAGCAGTTAAGACAATTTTTAATTTTGAAAAAGGTCTAGATTGTTATTCAAAAGACTATTTGAAAAAGGTCTAGATTGGATTCACTTGATGCGTCTCCCTAAGCAACAAGAGACTTTCTAACAACATAGTCAATTGCATCTCTTATTTTAGATTTTTTTGTGACCCGGTCCCTTCGTTTCTCTTTGACACCTCCAATTTTAACATAATCCTTATACTCCATTTTGTGCATTGGAAAGTCTATGATAAAATGTCATGATTTCCCACACTTGTGACGTAGGCCATTTTTATTTGCGGGATTACTTGTACTTCCTTTTCTCAGCAACCCACCATTTCTTCTCACGACCTTGTGAAACCTTCGAGTCAAGTAATATATGTCTTCATCTTCTTCACTAAACTCTCTTTGAGAAGCTTTGAGATCCAAGGTTTTATCCTTCATCAGGTCCTTTTTGGATTGATCTTGTTGTTTGTTGTTAATTCACGAGTCTTTAAGTTCCCAACTAACTCATCCATAGTAAGCATTTTAAGATCTCTAGCTTCAGTGATGACATAAACTTTTCTTTCCTAAGACTTGGGAAGAATTATGAGATTCTTTCATACTTGTTTGCTTGGATGGATCGTTTCACCAAGACAATACAACTCATTTGTGATAGAGGTGAACCTGGTGTGCATTTTTTGAGTGGTTTCACCCTCCATCATATTGAAGTTCTCATACTGAGTTGTGAGCATATCCACTTTGGACTACTTCACTTAACTAGTTCCTTCGTGAGCTATTTTCAAACACTTTCGGATCTCTTTAGCAGACTCACAGGTAGAGATTCTGTTGTATTCATCAAGTCCTATTCCACATACAAGTAACTTATCTGCTCTATAGTTCTTCTCAATCTTCTATCGATCAAATTCCTTGTACTACCTTCGAGTCTTAGGAGTAAGCCTAGTTATTTCTCCTTCCTTAACTTCATTCATCGGAACATGAGGTCCATCCAAAATGATGTCCCACAGTTCGCTATCTTTCGCCATGATAAAGTCATGCATACTAGTCTTCCACCAACCATAGTATTGGCCATTGAATCGAGGATGTTTGGTGGTTGACTGTCCTTTCAAGTTCGGTAGAGCAAACATTTGAGCAAGATCCTCTCTGGGTTTTAACTGTATAGAGAGTTAGGCTCCGACACCAATTGATGGCTTATACGAGTCCACCAACTAGGAGACCAGGTCCCATATATGTATTAGTAATATAAAGAACAATAAATGCTTAAATTAATGAATAAGGATGTTCACCTGGAAATCTCCTTGCTCAAGGAAGAAAGAACCACGAGATGTCACATATGATTTCTCAAAACTCAAATAACTTCAAGCAATTCGTGAATATAGACTCGATACTCACACATATTAAACTCTTAATCCTATATACCTTGTAACACATCTATTACAAGATACAAAATAATAACCCTATTTCCCACTATATCTACTACCTCTAGCTAGCATAGACTTCTAACACACACTCAACTAACTTAAACTCAACTCATAATAATTGAAAGGATCTATGATCCATTATAACATAGGAATATATTTTATAATACAAAAGCACAATACACAAGACCCAAAACAAAATAAAAGACTTTGCAGCACTTGATCATGTCCATTTATGAATATGAACAATGTTCTTCTTTAAAAATGACTTTTGCCTTTTCGAATGAACTTGATTGCAAAAACTAAGTTGTTTATTATCAATGCGTCTAATGTATAAGAGAGACAAAATAACCTAGTAGCATGCCATTGATCGAGGACTGTTGTCCTTGCTTCACCTCTACTGTTGTGGCCACCTACCACAATAGGTCATGCAACTTTACAACTGCACTCTATTGACTTATCTTCTAATGATGAAAATTCAAAGGACGAGGTCCCTTTACCAAATATTGTTTTTGTATAGTTTGTTAAATGATCAAAACTCGTAAATACAATAGGGACTTTGCACCAAGTGATATGGTTCTTCTGTTCAACTCTAGACTTCACTTACTTCCCGACAAGATGAGATCAAAGTGGTTGGGACCGTTTGATGTGGTTCAACTGTTAGACTATAGCTCGATTGAGCTTGAAAATCATGATGGAAAGAGGCTCAAGGTAAATGGCCAGCAAGTGAAAGCATACCTGAGAACTACAGATGAGATAAAAGTGGTGGAAACTTGGGCCCTTGGTGAAATTTGAGTAACTAAGAAGCCTGTGTTGTGCTGCAACATTAAAATCAGTCGTTGCATTGAAGGCAACCCATTTTTTTTTAAATCAATAGGCTTTTATTGAAACAAATCAACACATACAACAATCATTTGGGCCTATTGCCCAGTCCAAAAAAACAGTACATGGATAACAAAACATAACGAGAAATATCCCACTACGGACATAGTCCTAATCTCCTGCACTATTATACTTTCCTTAAGTGTAGGGTTTCCTGAAAAACTCTTTCCCTAGTCTCACCAACCCCACCCTTCTGAAGATGCTTCCTCCGTGGCATATTCGTCTCCTTCGCCTCCTCTTGATTTTGGTCATCAATGCCTTTGAATTGATTCTCAAATATTGTTTGCTGTTCATCTCACAAAAGTAAGTATACATCCTCCTCCTTTGTCCTTTGTTCTGTGTTTCCTCCTTGTGATTTCTCTTCTTATGTAGATGTGCTCTCTAGTGGAGCTTTCCTCTTGCCTACTGGATCTTGGTCAAAGGAATGAGTGAAGTTAATCGGTTCGTCCTCCATACTCTTCTGTTATGCTTTTCCACCCTGGATTTTTGATCTCGTCATTTTTTCTGGTGATGCTAGAATGGAGTGATTCCTCCTCCACATGTCATTGATTTATGCTCCTTCCAGGTGTATTCGCTTCCACCTGATCCCAACTCCTTGTTGTCGAGTCCATTTTAGATGGCTAATATAGTCTAGTCTAGGATGCATTTCACATTCATGTTGCATTTTGGCATTTTGTAAATGGTGGTTTATATGTAGACAGTACTCTGTAGTAGTCTCATTTTTCCCGTTATCCCCTACAAGGTGAAACTCGCATATATGGGATATTTAATTTGTCATTGTTCAGGATCCTTCTTTCATATGTATCCATGCTTTTAAAATCTGTGAATATGTATCTGCCCTTCTCTATAGACCTGCTTGCAAGATGATCCGCTAACTGATTTCCTTCCCTCATTATGTGCTGAAATTTGTGTTGTTTTCCTAGTAGACACGACCTTATTTCTTCCACTGTATCATATATATTCCAAGGTACTGCCCACTCCCCTATTAGGACTTTGTTTAGTAGCATAAAGTCTGTTTGTATGATGACTTGGTTGTGATTCATATGCATACAATGTTTGCTTGCTTCTAGGATTGCCTTCGCTTCTACCTCTGTACTTGTCACATTATCAATATTTGATCCCTCTGCATGTATAATATCCCCTTTATCATCCCTTAGACAAAAAACATATGAGCTAAGCCCTGGGTTTCCTCTAGAATCCCCATCGGTATTGTATTTAACCCACCCTTTAGGAGGACATTCCCATCTGACCAGCTCAATATTCACGCGTGTGCTGTACTCTTCCAGCTCTTGAAATATATTTGCCCTGAATATTGCATGCGTGGCCTTCTTAACTTTATCAACATGTACATGTTCCTAGAAACATTGTGAATAATTCTTGGTATTGATATTCCTTTCCCTTCATGTTTTATCCTATTTCTTCTTTTCCATAGTTCCCATATTATAAAGCTTGGAAGAGCTCTATAATATGGTTTACTATCCGATCTGCACTTTGCTCTCCACCATTGCATAATGACTTCTCTTAGAGATAGTCTTGCTATGTTGATACCTGCAAAAGAAGAAAA